GCAGATGGGTTTTAATTATAATATATACAAGATAATGCATGTGGGTTATCATAATTTGAATTATACTTATAATTTGGATGGGAATAATATTAACAGTGTTATGAAAGAAAGGGATCCTGGTGTAATGGATGATCAGTTTTTTAATCTATCCAAGCAGTGTGCTGTTGTTAGTGGTAGAGCAAATAGGATTTTAGGTTGTATCTACAGAAATATTGAATACAAGTCTAAAGAGGTTATAATTTCATTATATATGTTACACAGGTTAAGCCATATTTGGAATAATGTGTTCAGTCTCGGGCTCCTTATCTTAGAAAGAACATTAAATTGTTGGAAAGAGTTCAGAGGAGGGCTACTAGAATGGTGCCTGGGATGGAGGGGTTGTCATACGAGGAGAGGTTGAAATATCTCAGATTGTTTTCTTTTGAAAAAAGAAGAGTTAGGGGGGTATCTTATTGAGGTGTTTAAGATTATAAAGAAAATTGATAGTGTTGAAGCATCATCTTTTTTTTCATACTTAATGGTGAGAATAGTAGGACTAGGGGACATAAATATAAATTTTGGCAGGGTAGAAGTCATCTTCAGCTAAGACAATTTTATTTTCCCAACAGGGTTGTTGGACTTTGGAATGGGCTGCCTTCGAATTTTGTGGAGGCAGTAAATATAAATGAGTTTAAGAAAAAGCTTGATGACTACGTGAATGATAAGGGCTGGCTTTGAGTTCTTTTTAAGTAGTTTTAGTTTAGTTTAGAAGATGGGACAGCCTAGATGAACCAATAGGTCCCTTGTTGTCCCTATGTTATGATATTTCAGTCTTTGATCGTTTTTTATTTTTTCTGTTAGCTACCGAACTCTAAGATCAAGCGCAACATTTATATATAAAACAATAGGTAGCAGACAAGTATTGGTATTTTCAAATTGAACAACACATGAGCTAAACAGTCAAATCAGAGAACATAAGATTCACGTTTGCTACTGTAAGAATTATTCGTCACCACGAAGGTTTTTTCTTGCTTTGAACCGAATAACGGGATTGACTGTCACAATTAAAATTTTGGAGCGTATTCAGTGGGATCGCGCTGCGAACTTGGACCTCGATCCGCTGCGTAGCACGTTCACCACTACCCCACACGGAGGAAAAGGGTAAAATAGCTACGTTACTTAAAATTCAGTCAGCATAATTTGATAAGTTTGTTTGTTTGTAATTAAACACAAAGCTACACAATGGGCTATCTGTGCTCTGCCCACCACGGGTATCGAAACCCAGATTCTAGCGTTGTAATTCCGCAGACATACCGCTGTACACTGGGGGCTAGTTGATAAATACAAATACATCACCATCAGTTACTTTTAAGCAATGCGCAAAGCGCCATCCAACGAACAATTTAATTTAAAAAGCTATGAATTTCAATTTTCAGCAATATTAAAGCCTGCATTACTATGAAAAAGACGATCCAGTGAGACAGAGCAGTAGCAAAAAAACGAAGGTCTCAAAAGTTTTAACGCAATAAAATGTATAAAAGCTATCAAGCTAACCAAGGAATGTCATTCGGTAAAATTGCGTTTCGAGTTTTAGCTAGAAATTATTATTCATGTGCAATGGTTAATGCAAGCAAAAATATTTTGCCTCAATATGGGATTATTAAACAAACTAACCGAGACGTACCACTCAGCAAAAATTTTGCATTTCCGGTTTTACCGACATCTGACAAAAATCTGGAATTATTACTCATGTATAAAGATTAATGCAAGCATAATTTTTATACTAATATTGAATAATTGTTTATTACAGCAATTCAGTTAGCATAATGAATTAAAATTGAAACAGTCAGCAGTCCAGAATTTTCTAAAACTATTTATTCATCCAAAACTTCTGTTGGACGAAAACATTCAGGAGATATGTTTGTTTGTTTTGAATTTTCGCGCAAAGTACACGAGGGCTAATCTTTTACCAACGAATAGTGGAATTGACAAACACACTATAACGGCCCCACAGCTGAAAGGGTGAGCATGTTTGGTGTAATTCAGTAGAACTAGTAAACATAAGCAAAAGTGTTAACGATTTGTTTATTAATGTCCAAATTATGGTATCTATATTTCCAGTACTTACAGTGTAAATATATTATTTTTTAAGTCACGCCTTAAGTTTTATGTGGTTTTCAAATCAAACTTTTAAAACAGTTTTGTTTTTACCTTGTATCAATTTATTCAACTCTAGATTTAAACTCTGTTCATTTAGCGTTTACTATCTTTCAGCGACATATTTTGAATTTTGGTCTCGGAATAAATTCGAAAGCATCCACTGTAGATGCGTACAGTATGGAAAAAACTTAGAAAAAAATTAAAGTATTCTCATAAATGCAGAGACATTTTCTTATAAGACATTGAATGAAAAAAATCCTTAGATACATATACTTTTTTTTTCAGGTGTTTGAGAAAATTTACGGTCAGTTTTTCCCGGTTGGAAATCCGTCCCCATTTGTTGACTATATTTTTAACGTATTTGATGCTAACAAGGTAATTAATGACACGTAAATAATTTTTTCCGTCTAGGAAATATATTTTCATAATCTATCGCTTTCCTTATACTTTCTTTCCTGTGATTTATATGTATGGTTTTGATGTTGTTATTTTTTGCTTGAAGGTAATGTTATTCTAGCTAGTTGTTTTAATCGGTTCTAATAGTTTACCCCAACACATATTAATACGATGTAAAATGTAAATTCTTCGCTCAGTTGTCTTCATTTGATTAAACAGGAGCCAAATAATAATAAAACTAATTTAATCTCAAATTCAAATAATATATTTATGTGTGATCTCAATTATTGCTTATAGAATAAGTAATCTTAAAAATAACCAATGTTAACTTATTTTTTGTTCTTAAGCGCAAAGCTACACAATAGGCTATCTCTGCCGTGCCCACCACGAGAATCGAAACAAGATTTATGGTGTTATAAGCCTTCAGTCTTACCGCTGAGCCACCAAACCAAAGACCTCATTTCTTCTCAAATTCATTTAAGTTTTTAGATATGTATAACTTACCAATTACTTTTTTTTAAAAGTTTGCTTTTGTACTTCACGCTTTCATCTTTATTTTTGTTGACTAGTTTGAAACATTTTAGTTTTTATCACGCTTTTAGTTTTATCTTCACTTAGATTATCTTTTTCTTCGTAGGAGTTTATGTTTTAGTTTTTGTGCTTTTGTTTTTGTTTTATTGGTAGCCTGTCTGTTTGTAGTTAAGCACAAAGCTACACAATGGGCTATCTGTGCTCTGCCAACCACGAGTATCGAAACCCGGTTCCTAGCGTTGTAAGTCCGCAGACATACTGCTGAGCCACTGGGTGGCATTGATGGTCTGATATTATGTCTTTGGTTTCGATGTTAATTCTCGTTTTTAGCTGATATTAAATTTTTTTCATAAATTTAGTTTTATATTTGTGTTGTGAGCGAATATTATGGTTTGTCTCGTTATATTTTGCACTTTACTTGTATGTTTGTTTTGTAAGCTAATATAATCCATACCAATCCGACTCATAACGTTTCTTCTTTTAAATTATAATAAATCCACCTAATTTTATAACACTAGTTAGTACGATGTTTTTATGTATTCGAAATTTTTTTAAAGAAAATATCTGTCCGAAAGATCTTTGATTTCTGGATGAGAATTTTCTAATTCTTCAAGTTGAGCCCCGCGGTGTCACAGTCTGAAAACTTATAACGCTAAAAACTGGACTTCGATACCCGTGATGGGCACAGCACAAATAGCCCATTGCGTAGCTTTGCACTTAACAACAACCACAGTTCTTCGAATTGGAGAGCCACCTACAGGTGTCACAAACCATTTACGTACAAAATTTAACAGAACCTTACTATAAGAATACATTACGTAAGCAGAGATCTAAAAGTTTGTTCTTAACTTGTCATTAATAATTATATTTGTATGTAATAACGTGTTCGGCTAATTGAAAAAAACAAACAAAAAAAAACTTGTTCTCTTTTTGTAAGGATGGTGTCGTCACATTTAAGGAATTTATCACCGCTATTTCAGTAACAACACATGGCTCTATTGACGAAAAACTGAACTGTAAGTACACTGATCTAATGCATGTAGTCTTATTTAATAATGTCAACTACAGGTTATTATCAGATATATGTTTATAGTTTTGGAAGATGAAATAATGATAAACCTCGTTTTTCAATCCTCGGACCATTTTCTCTAAAGGCACTTAATTCAACTTCTTAGCTAATAAAAAATATATTTTAAATTTGTACCTCATGAAACAGTTTTAAATGTAATTCTATTACAAAAATATATATACTTTACTTAGTTTGAATTTGGTGTGATTAATTGTTTTCTCTAAAAAATCTTTATGGTTTCATTGCTTTGTTTTAAGGTGTATTTCATTAATTTTCGTAGGGCTTAAAAATAAATAAAAGTATTGCGGAAGATATATTTTCATGTATTGGTTTGGTTTGTTTGGAATTTCGCGCAAAGCTATACAAGGGCTCTCTGCGCTACCAATCCTTAATCAAGCAGTGAAAGTCTGGAGGGAAGACAGCTAGAATCACAACCCACCGCCAACTCTTGGGCTACTCTTTTACCAACGAATAATAACAGATTGTGAGCCGATTGTTTGTTTGTTTGTCTGTAATTAAGCACAAAGCTACACATTGAACTATCTGTGCTCTACCCAACACGGGTATCGAAACCCAGTTTCTAGCGTTGTAACTCAACAGACATACCGCTGTACCACTGGGGGGCTTGCGAGCCGAGTGCCCTAACTACCGGGGCATGCCAAGCCGTATTTTCATATGTAGCTGATAGATGGCGGTAACGATGTCAAGCATCTCGCTGCGTCCGACGTAACCATCATTGTCTATATCATACAATCGGAATGCCCCTAGCGGTGAAAAACAACAGTGCGAATGTCTAAATCTCACAGGAAAATTGTTCAGAGCGTAAGTGCATAATCAGAAAGTCATCTCACTTACTACGGTTACATAAACATGTTATTCATTAAATGTATGAGCAAAAAAGTATGTAAATTTTTTACCTTAACTCATAGTTGGTTGCCGCAAACTATTAGAAATATTACGTTTACAAATGACTTTGGATATAGATGTTTTTAGAAATCTATACCTTCAGTGAGCTTGATCTGTAAGAACACATTATTTTCAAGTAGCAATTAATTGTCGGACGCTACATAGTTGATAACATTGATTCAATACAATATTTACTTAAATTTAATTATTTATTTTTTTTACACGTACAGTTTCATTACCTTGTCTAATTTAATAAACAGTTGGTTCACTCTTTGTTCTGGTGCATCTCTGGTACCAAGAGAGCTGGAAAACCTTCCTCCAGACTAGAGTTGAATAACAAAGTATTTGAAGTAAAGAATTACAACTAAAATAAAATAGTTATAACTAAACTGATCTTGTAATAATACATACTGCTGTATTTAATAAATCTCATTGAGAAAGAAAATTGCTTCAGAAGTAGAAATAAATTAGAAACTCATCCACGCTATAACATGGTTGACGTGTTTGGCAGAATTGTAATCACGACCGTTTTGCTTTCCAGGACCGTGACGGAAAGATCAGTTGTGCTGATTTCTGCAACGGCTTCAAAACCGACCCTGTGATTGTGAAAGCGCTGCTTTCAGACAACTTAAAGACCTCACAAAGAACTTCCCGCGTCACGTAAACGTTGTTTATTTCAGTGACTGTACGAATGTTATGTTTTTATTTAGTGAACATGAATGTGCCTTTGAACTTTGTAGGCTCTGTTGGTGTTCTTTTCTGTAGAGTTACTGAGTAAGAGTCTTTCAGAGTTTAGAAAACAAATTTCATCAAGTCATGCTGAGCACCATCTATAACTTCATCACTGTGCTTTTTGTATATGTTACAAATTCTAGTTTAAATCGTTGTTGAATTATTTCTGTCAAAACTGGTAGAATATTGTCTCACTTTGTTAAACAACCTGATACTTAAAAATTACTGTTATTTCTATGAAACTTTATTTTGCAACTCCTAAAACGAATTGTTTCGTAAGTTATTTTATCTACCCACGTGATAAATTTTAGGTATAAACAGGCATAAAAATTTCTTAATAATAAGAATTTCTCAACTAATGAGAGGTAAAATTACTTGAACTTCAATTGGCTATTAGGATAACAGCAAACGAATCTATATTTTTTAAGCTTAATAAACAGACAACAATATTTATTCAAGTTCATAAACAGACAATAATGTTATCAATATCATCCATAACAACTTGTTCAAAATCAGGTTTCAACACAGTTGAACATTTTGAGAAAATAAAAACTTGGGCGCCTCGTATGCCATATTTTAATGACTTTTATGTTGCTAGTATGATACATTAATAGTATAATCTATTAACAATTATCTTCTTAACTTCTTGCTTTTATAACTTTATTAAAAATATGTTGTCGATCGATTGTTGATACTTGTGCAAAAACATCATAGATATCACTACGCGTTTGCTTTCCTTTTGTTACATCTAGTGAAAACAATGAGAAATATACATATAAATGTATCATAGTTTGAAAGTTGTTTTGGCTTTTTTCATTTGCATATTTTTTTACACTTTTCATCAATGAATTCATACATACATAATAACCCATCCCATGGGACAGTGGTAAGTCTACAGGCTTATAACGCTAAAATTCGGGATTCGATTCCTCGCGGTGGCCACAGCAGACAGCCCAATGTGGCTTTTCTCTAAAACATAATAACCCTGAATAATCACTTCACCGGTTTTGACGCTACCTAATTTTTTATTTGCACAAAAGTCAAACATATTTTTTTAATCAGTCGCCATCTCTTGTAAGACGAAATTCAATGAATCTCAATACAGTGAAGTAAAGTCTAGTACGGAACGGCGTATTTCCGTGTTACCGCGTTTAACAGCCTTGGGAGAGTAAAAAAAATAGTGTTTTAGTCAATATAAAAATATCTGAATCTCATCCTTTACTAGCTCAAAAGTATAATCACTGCAGTTTTGAAAAATCAGTGACACAAGATGTTATTTACACGAGATATTGCCATCACTGACCGCAGTGACTGTGCGAGTACTGATTATATGTGTCGTCTATGGTGATTGGTGCGGCGAAAACACTTCAGCTTGTCAGCGTGCATTAAACACCTTGGAAGAATATCGCTCAAGATTGTGGTGCAAAGTAGGGTAGTAAGTTGCCAGATGGCGCTAATTTAGTATTATTTATTATGCTAAGTGCTAATTTATTTTTAGTTACGCATTTTTCATGATGATTTTGGATATTTTTACATGATTTGATTACTGTTACACAAGTATATATATATATATACAAAATATATGAGTGCGTTAACCAAAGCCACCGGCCAGTATACGCCACTTGAGCGGTTTTATATCCCACTCCGCCAAATCTGATTTGCAAGTTTCATTTTGGCTTTTTGAAGCTTCAAGTGATGGATGAAACTTTGATACCATTTTTTTCTTTTGGATTTTGCAATGATTGTTTTTTTTTACCTTTTAGGAAATGAATATTTTTGCACTATCTTGCAACTATTTTTGTGCTATTTTGATTCCAGGTTTATTTTTAACTCTTAAACTTCTAGTTTCAATTTGTTAACGAAATCAAGGCATTATATTCAGGTCCGTACGCAGAAGGTTTGAAAAGCGGTTTCTAATTTGTGAGATCAAAAATCAACAGATATTGTTCGAAGCACAATCAGCATGCAAAGCATGCTAATGATACGGGGGTCTAGGGACATGCTACTATTTCAAGCCAAAAAAAATGCTAATGCTTCATCAGAAGAATCTAGATTATGTAGAAAACGTTATATACTATAAGCAACTGCGCTATAACTATATAAACATAATTTTTTGCATCACAAAAATAGGGAGTTTAGTCGACACCCTCCCCCCTCTTCTACGTACGTGCGTGTTATTACGAAATCTGCCTATAGTACAGATATAGTACAGGGGTGGCGTTGAGAAGGGTGGACGCCAAAGCCCTCATTTTAGGGGCCATGCACCACTCCCTAAATGAAAATCTTTGAGATTTTTTGGAAATATTAGCTAAAATGGCTATAAAACGATTCCTCATAGGCATTTGAAATTCAATATTAGTAGCACAACCAAGATATGATAGTGTCCTTAAAGAACTATCCTTTCACATACAAAGATAAAGGCTCAACTCACAGTATATCTTGCCAAATATCTTTTGCAGGCATTTAGCCAAAGTACTAAGAATGGCGGTGTTCTATGTAACAGTCGACTTTTCTAACAAAAGCAATACATTTGATAAGAGTATTAAAATCACACGCTTACGCTTGAGGAAGCAGATACGATAATTCCACTTCACGTGATGGATGTAGTAAGACAGCAGACACACGAGACCACTCCTACTACTGACATATATTCACTTGACACAGATGTGTTTATCCTACTACACCCAATACTCCATCAGAGTAGTTGTTTGGTCTACTATCGGTAAAGGCACCAATGCAAGGAAGATCAACATACGTGAGAGGTACTCTGCAGTTGGAACTCAAAAAGCAAGATGGTTTCTTGGACTCCACATGTTTTCTGGAGCAGACCGGGGAAGTAAATTTCCTGGTATTTCGAAGAAAAGATGATTGAAGGTTTGCTTCGGTCTAAAGCCCTCTATTGAGATTGTAAACTATCTAGATCTCTTTGGGAAGGAAATAATAGATCGCAAATTAGAAGAAGAGATTCTACAGAAGCTTGTTTGTTTGGTGTACGCAAAGAAAACACGTCGTTAATATGAACGAAATGAGATGGGAAATATTCAAAAGGAACATCTATGAAGCCGAAAAACTACCACCAACAGTAGGTGCTCCTGTTCCATGTATAAACCGAGCTCGTTTGCTTGAATGATCTCCAATTGGTACAGTCGATCTGCACTCAATATTCCACTTATCACCGAGAATGGCTGGGAGAAAAACAGTAATATTAACGTGCCAGTTAAATCCTTACAGCTACCAGCTTGTGAAACGTGGATGCAATGAACAGTGTAATGCTAACAGAAAATGCTCGTGCATGAAAAGCAATTTGCAATGTACATCAATATGCAAATGCCTATGACAATACAACCGATTACCATCTAGATGAGGACGATGGTGATTAAATACTGATTAGATGTTCATTGCAGGTTATAAAATGGCTTGACCAGTAAGTTTTTCAGAGTTTAGTTTTGATGATCAAGCGTTAAGTTAATTTGTATAGTCTAATAACATTACGTTTGAGAAGACCAACCACGTGTAGTATGTGTTTCAAGTGATGAAAAAAACCCGTAAAATCCTGACGTCCGCAATAATTCAAAATGCTACGGACGTGTTAACAATACCAGGCACTCCATGATTTCATTGAATGCATTTTATTTATGGGTGAAATGCGTTATCTTTCTTATATACACTTAAACATTTTGAAATTTACCATTATTTTAAACAATTTGAGCGTAGTTTGTACTCTAAATCAGGCCCCCAAAATTATACTAAGCCCCAGATAAAAAAATGGCACCAAGCATTTCTCATCTCATTATGTCATAGTAAATGCAATGAGCAGAGGAAATCAATCTTGGCAAATAAATCTAGTGGGAATGAAGTTTTAGGACATTTCCTGCCATGCTAATCCGCGTTTTGCAAAGTTTTGTTTGTTGCCTTTCTTAATCACACATTAAGAACACTGATGTAATTATTTTCTTTATATGTTTCATTTCAACTACATACGACATTTTCAAATGTTCGTCATTGCATTTTTGAAAAGATATATATAGTTTTCAACTTTATTCTCTCTTGAAAATTTTGATAATAATTATACTACGAGCTTAAGAGTACTGAAAATAGTTTACTTTAAAAATTAGCACTTCGTTTCAGTTGCTTAAAAAAAAAGAAATGTGTTCACTATTATCAGAAAGTCGAAGCTTATGATACACCTTATCCGGAAATCGATTGAGTCAATGTAGTTAAAAATATTATAAAATATTAAAGAGACACTGCAGACTGTTTTATGGATTACTTCCGATGTAAGAATACTTTGAATATGGGGAAAAAGGGAGCGGCAAATTATAGTGCGACAGTAACACAAATTGAGCTCGAAATGATAACATGATCTACAAATCCAATCTTCATGATGATTTCACTTGTAATTTTCTTCACTATAAAGTACTTATGCCAGC